CTAGATTCAAACCGTCAATCCGTATTTTTTGATATGTTTAATCAATTAGAGGCTACCGGAAGATGGTAACTACTGTGGATAACACGACCTAATTAAGTGAATGAAAATTCGCTACTTAGTCTAGCCTATTTTTCTAAATCGTAAAACTGCTAATTGAATTAAATTTAGGAAGCGTTTCCTAGACTGTTCAAGAGGTCAGATTTAATCGTAGAGCGTCTCGCGGTTAGATTAAAAATAAGGAAAAATTTGGGTAACAGACCGTGTCGTTGCTTTGGGCTAGTAATTCCATAAGATAGCGAGATTTGATTCTAAAGTTGAATAGACGAGTCAGTCGAGGGTGTTGACGAAACCGTGAACTAGAAAATTCTCTTATTTATTTTATTTTAATTTTATTTTTATTGTTTAGATTTCATTCTTATATAGATTAGTTATTAATCCAATCTCCCCATTTATTGTTTTCTTAATTTCATTTAATACGAAAAAGCCACAATTTGATTCACACTCCCTGTGGGTTCGACCCTTACTTGCCTCTACTACTAGTTAGTAGAGGTTGGTTAAGGAAAAATATAAATTTAATTTTTGCCGCGTTGCGACGCGCGGTCAAATTTTGACGCCGTTGTCGGGGAATGTCGTTATTGAATTGTGAATTTTGAGTACTAATTGAATTATTGTTTTTTTCTTCTATTGATTTTTTTAGGATTTTATTTTTATCATATTTTACACCTCTATTTATCTATGTTTTTATTTTCTTGCAGAATACTGGGTACCCCCATACTCTGCTGAATAGAATAGTTCAACCCCATACTCGCGGGATTGACTAATTTTTGGGCGATTTTAGCGAGCTTGGCGTAATTTTTCGAGATGGTAGCCTATTATCACGACTTTTATACCCACCAGGCACCTTACCAGTATGAGAGGGAGATACGAGGCCCGTGGATTGGAGATCGAGATGAGTATGAATACGGCTTGAGAGAGCATTCGACCTCTTTCTATGGGTACTCCGAGCCATTAGTTGAGAGACATCCCAGTCCGTCGCTCGAGGATATGATAGAGGCATTTGCGGCTAACATGTTGAGATTTCAACAAGAATTCTGCGAGCCATTAGTTGAGAGAGATTCTGGTCCGTTGCTAAAGGATATGATGATGGAGTTGACGGCTCACACCATAACTTTCAGTTAAGTATTGAGGCGAGCATCAAGAGCCAAGAGATGAGCATCAAGGATCAAGGACTGCGCATAAGGAATTTACAAGTCCAAATGAGCCAATTGGTGGAACAAATGAACCGACTTGTGTGTCGGCTCGTAACGAGTCCAATGAGTTCAAGAGTCACCCATTCATTCAGCGAGGACCTCGAGGAACCTAAAGAGTGCACTTACGAGCCGGAGAACAAAAAATTCACAAATATAGAGAAAACGGAGTCGAAACAGCCCAGTACGGGGGTACCCCATACTCAGTCTGTTGTACCCCGTACTCGACCTGCTGTAGTGAAAAAGCGTACCGTTCTCCCCGCTCTTGTGCCGATAGAAGCTGAACCGTGTCGTATGCTCTCCAGTATGAAATGGATACTGAGCAAGAATGCACTGAATCATGTACTGAGCCTTGATATACCTTCTCTTGATTCAATCGAGCAAAAGGAAAGGTGTAAATAAGAGTTTGATGAGACGTTGACCGTAATTGAGCGTGGGTTGCTACACATTCTTGAGGAACTAGTGTCATGGAGGAAAGATCCGGTGAAGCACCCAACACCGAGGATAGGAGATGTGGTAGGGCATGGTGCCGGGAGATTTGTGGCTCCCTTGAGGCCACCTCCGAAGACGCCATGGATCCTTTGATGAGAAAGAGCAATAAGTCGGGCCAACGACAATAAAAAGAGGCGCTTGTTGGGAGGCAACCCAATGGTGTGCATGGTTCGGAGACTTCCTTTGCATTTACTAAGGTGAACTCGTTTCTTTTACCTCTATTTTTTGTGATTATTGGTGTCGACGATATATGCAAACTCTAAGTTTGGAGAGGTATTTCTTGTTGGGCATTCATGATTTATTATGTGATTATATTTATGCCCCTTAGAGTTTGAGTTTTATTGCATGATTTCTTTTTTGTCGTGTGTCAGCATGAGATTGCATGTACGTGGAATTTTGCGATGATGATATGAGAGTCGGTTTGGAATTATTGTGCTAGTTTAAATGGCTTGAGTTAATTTTATTTAGTTAAATTCTTAAGGTGATTTTATTTTGGGGACAAAGGCATGATGGTTGATATTTTTGTGATTCATTTGTGGTGAGTTGGTTTTCAAGCGATTTGTATTGTTGAGATGTGCTTGTGATTGCTTTAATCAATGTTGATTAAGTTAGGGGACTTGAAGTTTAAAGTTGGGGTTTCTATGTCTCATAGTCGAAAAAAAGAATAATGAGGATGGAGGAATAATTGAAGGAGTTGAAAAGTCGTTTGGCACAAAAAAAAAGAAAGTAAAAAAGAGTCATGGACTGCAACAGCTGCCAATCCGTGAGGGCTCTAGTGTACAAATCCAATAATTCTTGTATCGAGACAATCACAAAAGGCTAAAACCTGCGGGTTGTGACAGAGCTGCCGTTCCCTACTCAGAAAAAANNNNAAAAAAAAAAAAGAATAAGAAAAAAAGAGAAAAAAAGAGACGTTTAGACTTCGGCTAGAAACGGAAAGAAACTAGACTTGTTAGCAAAGAGAGGGGTGTCATTAGTTGCATTGATCGGTGCATTCGTTATAAAGATTGACAAACTATGGTTGGTCACTTGAATTGATACTTGATATGTTTGCGTTCCTAGAATGATTTCATCTTGAGTCCGGATAAGTTAATTTGAGTTGTTTGAACTATGCACGTATGTGAGAATTGTGAGGTCCTGAGTAAAGTTCCACGTACTTGTTTCTTGTTCATATTTGTGCTTATAGTTCTAAGTTGCTTGGGGACAAGCAATGATTTAAGTTTGGGAGATTTGATTGGTCGGTAAAAGTGTGTATTTTATATACTTGTACGCGTATTTTTATATGCTTGATTTTATCGCACTTATGTGTTTTTCGTCATATTTATTTATTAGATGGATTTGAGTGCTATGATATTTTTATTTTTATTTTTAGGATATTGGAGTGTTTTCGTGGACAACATGTCGAAACCCGAAATCTGATTCCAATGTGGGCTGACTTAGATTTAGAAATAATTGGGTTGCCACTTAATTTGGAAAATAATAAAGGTCGCATTCATGAGTCATGAGCTTAATTGGACAGAAGTGTTTTGTTGGGCACGAACCCAATTCATAGGAATTAACTGGAAATCACGCAATAGCCATCATGGGAGGATTTATTTGCGAAGACACGCAGCCTGGAGATATTCACGCAATACAGGGCCGCCACACATTTATGCACAGAGTTATGGGAACAGAGAAGAAGAACGCCGCAAGAGAGGAAGACGTGAGAAAGCCGGCAATCGCGGAGGGAGACCGCACCCGCACACGAGAAAGATAATTTTATTCTTTTCTTTTTATCTTTATTTATTATGTTAGAGTAGTCTTTTATTTCTAGTTCCGCGGAAGTCTAACCCTATGATTGATTTATTCGGTTGATAATCTCAATATCTTTTGGGATTGTTTGTGTTATTTTGAATAAGTAATTCGATTTGTTGAGTCTTGTTTAGATTGATCACCTAGACTAGGCTTTTCATATCTACTGCTAGATTCAAACTGTCAATCCGTAATTGTTGATGTGTTGAATCAATTAGAGGCTACCGGAAGATGGTAACTACCGGGGATAACACGGCCTAATTAAGTGAAAGAAATTTTCGCTACTTAGTCTTGCCTATTTTTCTAAATCGTAAAGCGGCTAATTGAATTAAATTTAGGAAGTGTTTTCTAGATTGTTCAAGAGGTCAGATTTAATCGTATAGCGTCTCGCGGTTAGATTAAAACTAAGGAAAACTTCGGGTAACATACCGTGTTGTTGCCTAGGGCTAGTAATTCCATAAGATAGCGAGATTTGATTCCAAAGTTGATTAGACGAGTCAGTCGAGGGTGCTGACGGAACCGTGAACTAGAAAATTCTCTTATTTATTTTATTTTATTTTTATTTTCATTGTTTAGATTTCATTCTTATATAGATTAGTTATTAATCCAATTCCCTTCATTTATTGCTTTCTTAATTTCAATTAATACGAAAAAACCACAATTTGATTCACACTCTCTGTGGGTTTGACCCTTACTTGCCACTACTACTAGTTAGTAAAGGTTGATTAAGAAAAAATATAAATTTAAATTTTGCCGCGTTGCAACGCGCGGTCAAATTAATCATATAAATTATACTCTGGTTTTAGTCAAATAAATAAATAAATCAGAATATGGAAAAAAAAAATAAAAAGTCTATACAACAATCACTAAATGCCTAAGACCATTACTAATCCCTGAAATTTGTACAAGTAATCACTAGCTGCCTTACTTTTCTTTTTCAAATATGCCTTCTTTTACTTGTTTGAATGAATACATCTGATCCATCTTTACACGTTTTATTTCTTACTACAGCTTTTCATTCTTTGTTTAAAAAAATAAGCCTTCTTACTTGTTTACTAAATTATAATTATTGTATCATTTGATAATTATTAACAACCACTAAAAAATAAAATCCGACATAATAGTAATTTTGGTTGTTCTGCCAAAGTAAGTCAAATATAATCTCATTCATATTCAAATACTATTGAAATGCATATTTGAAAGTTGATAAGACAAATCAGACTGAGCTTGCTATAGCTTGCACTGATAACTCTATTTCTATAATACAGCAGTCATTCACGAGAAAGCCATTATTCGGATCATTAAACACAGCAAGCTCAATAAATGACGGCCATCCCCAGCTACGGCTTCCACCAGCTGATAACCAACGAGAAGCTACAACACAAGATCGATGTTCCAAAAGTAAACAATTATGATGAAATTTGAAAAGGATGTTTACTTTGGAAAATTCAAGTGCTTATCATGACTTACCAACTCTCCTTTTGTGTTTACTGCTAAGCTGATTCTTTATGAGGATTGTAAGGCGTGTGTGCAATCGTTCATTGTTACAATTCTTAGGAATATAGTTTAAGAAGATAGATAAGAAGCGTCCCCTAGCTTCTCCATATCCATTTGTATGCAACTCAATACTCCTGCACAAAAATACTTCATGTCGCTAAAATAACCAAAAAAACGAATACATATATATGTGAAAAGAAGCCCGGCTGATTAATTAACGTACTTACCATTTATGGCCTCCGAAAGAGAACTCTGGTGAAACCCATTCACTCCCCAGTTTAGAAAAGCTCGGAATTTTCCATTCTTGCTTATAGGGAGCACCAACAACATTCTTGAGAGTCAGGCAATCAATGACTGCTTTGTTTTCTTTCACATAAGCTTCAGCACCAAACACACAACTGTCATCGTGGCTGAGGTATCCATTGTGAGGATCACTAAGCTCTACTGTTGATATGAACTTAGAGAAGCCCCATTCTGTCTTCATTGCAGTAAAACGCCGACTTCTTCCTGATACCACTATCTACTTTAAAAAAAAAAAAAAAAAAGAGAGAAAAAAAGCATGTACAAACATATTGAACTGGACAAACACTGGAATTTCACGACCACAAAGAAAATATCTAGACCAAAATAGTTTGCATTTTTGGAGGAATTATTGCAACGAATTGGGCAACTAGTATCTCTTGTTCTAAATTTTGCCACATACTGACTGGAAAATTTACCCAGTGAATAGTGATAATTTCCGGTAATCTGATTAAACAGGCATATCGTGAAGATGGCATTCACTTCCCAGCCTGCAGGCAATAAGCCACCAGAATCAACAATGGCTAAGTACACCGACACATATCCTTCGTCTCTTTCCCCTCCATTTGGGTAAATTCTAAGTTTCCTACACAAGTATATCACAAGTCTGTCATAAAACATATAAAATGCATGAAGCATATGAAATAAATATATATATTTTCTTTCAAGCGAAAATAATTTATAGTTGTGTTGTTTTGTCACGTACCACTTGTATCCCCCGGACTCAAATTCGCTCGTCTCGTATTTCTCGATCCCGTGATTCGCAAGCAACGAGAAAGATTGAATTTTGACCAACAAATGAGCGGGTGAAGCCTCTCTTGTTTCCATTACAGCCACTAAGTAATCATAAACGAAATAAAACTTCAAACCGAAACAAGAGACTAGCATAACAACAATACTATAGAGCTAATACATATAGAAGGTCTACGTTGTAATTGCTTACCATCCTTTTCGGCTGTGTAGTCCATCGGTGCTTTTAGTTCCTTTGTGATGACTTGTTATGGTTTCTTCTCAACTAAAATCATAAGGGTCTTCTTATGTTATATATGCAGATGGTTGCCTTTTAAGTTTCTCTGAATATTAACAGTCTGTAATAGTTCTATGTACTCTGTGTCAATTCTCTTTGTATTTATTTCAGTTGCATGTATTTTCCCAATTTTTTAAACAATGCAGTGAAACCTAAAATTTTTCTGCATTGTTTGGTGCTTGAGCAAAAAAAAGAGACTGTTCGATTTTTGTTTTCCCTTATTACAGTTTTTTTTTTTCTTATTACAGTTTCTCATTCTTTGTTTCAAAAATAAACATGATGTAATTTGCTTAGATAGTTAAATGTCTTCTTACTTGTTTACCAAATTATAAATATATCATTTGGTAAACTATGAACAAATAAAATCCAACACAATTATTTTGGTTTTATGCCAAACTAAGTCAAATAAAATCTCATTCATAGTTAAATAACAGAGAAAAACATATATATATAAAAAAAAAAAAAAAAAAATCTTTTCGTTTGAAAGTTGATAGTCAATCAGCCTGAGCTTGCTATAGCTTTCACAGACATCTCTACTTCTATAATACAACAGTCGTTCACAATGAAGCCATTATTAGGATCGTTCACCACAGCAAGCTGAATAAATGCACTCCATCCCCAACAAAGGCTTCCAGCAGCTGAAAACCAATGAGAAACTACAACACAAGATGTTCCGATATTAGAAAAACATTAATTTTCATAAAATTAGAAAATGAGATTTACTTTGGTAATTTCAAGTGCTTATTACGACTTACGAGCTCCACTTGTGTGTCTACTACTAAGCTGATTCTTCATGCGGATTGTAAAGCACGTGTGCAATCGTTTGTTGTTACCATTCGCAGGAATATAGCATAAGTAGAGAGATAAGAAGCGTCCGATACCTTCTCCATATCCATTTCTATAAATCTTCACTCTCCTGCACAAAAATAGTTTATGCCGGCTAAAAGATATAAAAAGAATATATATTCTTTATATATGTGTGTGTGTGTGTGTGTGTGAAATGAAGCCCGACAAATTAATTTAACATACATACCACTTATGGCCTCCGACAAAGAATTCAGGTGAAAACCATCCACTCCCCAATTTAGAGAAGTTTGGAATGTTCCATTCGCGCTTGTAGGGAGCAGCAACAACATTGTTCAAAGACAGACAATCAATGATTGGTTTTTTTTGGTTCACAAGAACTTCAGCACCAAAAACACAATTGCCGTCATCGCTGAGGTATCCATTGTGAGGATCATTAAGTTCTTTGGTGGAGATGAACTTGGAGAATCCCCATTCTGTCTTTATTGCAACAAAACTCCGACTTCTTCCTGATACCACTATTTACTTTTTAAAAAACGCATGTACCTTTTTGGATGAATTATTGTAACAAATTGGGCAAACTTAGTATATCTTTTTTTCATACATGGTTGTAATAACCGACTGAAGTGCCGCAAAGACAAATTGTTTGACTACTAATAACCGAGCAGCTTTGGAAAATAATATGTTAACTGCAAATAATGGCATTCTTTTATTCGCAATTATGTTAGGCACCTTACCTGTAAACTACTTAACACCACATCACAATCTCCACGGTACATTACCGCTACCGTCTACTGTCGATAGGCAAAACCATTATTAAAACTAACTTATATTCAATTTTTTAACAAAGTATGCATGTATGAATCGACAATTATAAATAAAAATCTGTTTTCTGTTGCGTAATGGCCGTGAATTCAAATTGTCTCCAACCAGGTAAAAAAAAAAGGTTAAAAAGAGATGGTTATTGTGTATTTTTTTACAACCATCTACCAAGAGTGATCTAAGACGAATTGCCGTCGCATATTAAGATAGATATATCTTTTTTTATATATGGCTGGATTGAATAGAAAATTAATTTACCTGGTGAATAGCTATAATTGCCTGTAATCTGATTAAACAAGAAGATGGAGAAGACGCCATTAACCTCCCAGCCTGCGGGAAAGCCACCATAATCCACAATGGCTAGGTATACCGACACGTATCCTTCCTCTCTTTCCCTTCCATTTGGGTAAATTATAAGCTTCCTGCACAAGTAGCGCATGAAGCGTAAAATAAATATGTTCTTTGAAGCGAATTTCTAGTTGGAACACGAAAAAACCGGTCACGTACCACTTGTATCCTCCAGACTCAAATTTGGTCGTGTCGAATTTCTTGATCCCATGCTTCTCAAGCAAGGAAAAAGATTGAATTTTGATCAACAAATGAGCGGGCGAAGCCTCTCTCGTTTCCATAATGGCTACTGTAAGCAAAGCAACACAAACTAAATAAAACTTCAAACCAATACAAGAGACTAGCATAACAACAATACTAGGAACCACATATGTAGTACAAAAAAAATAAAAAGCTAATATTATGAAAGGACTACGTTGTACTTGCTAATTACCATCAGTTTCTGCCGTGGATCCCATCGTTGCTTTTGGGTTCCTTTGTGTCGTGTTCGTGTGCCTCTTTTCAGTCAATAGAAACAGGGTTTTTTTTATATACTTCTTTCTTTATCTCTTCTGGTCCAAGTAGGAAACCTATTAAGAGAATGAAACCTAAACATAAAAGGAAACCATATGATAGCAATATTCTACCAAAATTATAAATGTGATCTATAAGTAGTGAAATTCCCAGTGTTAAAACTCTTGAGGGAGAGCTTTGCCGCCCTTGTGGTCCTACCCGGCTCGATTCCGGATTAGTCGGTTCTCCTGTGGATCCGGAAACCGGAAGGTCCCTGTACCAAAAAAAAAATATTATGTCGATTAATAATGATTCTGAAACAATTGAAGTTTTAATTCATCCATAGACATTTATATTAAACCTTTTACACCCTCAAAAACAGCCCAGGACCCTCTCAAGTCCAGTACAAGTTCAAAACACCCAAAAAAACATGAACACACAATCATCATCATCATCCTTATTTCTTACTATACCTCTCAACGCTCTCATCAATCCAAGCCCTCATATCCGCCCGGACAAGATTCGCACACTCTGTCTAACTCTCCCTGTATCAAAAACAACAAAAAAACACCATTAGAATAATCGACAACATTGACAGAGCACCAATAAAAAATTAAAATTCATCCAAAGAACAAACCAAAAATTAAAATTAGGGCACCCTCAGTACTATCGAGAATCAGGATTGGACTATCAACCAAAAAGATAAGGATGCGACGGCTCTTCACTCACAAGGGCCAACCAGCCGGCTGGACGCCATCTAGCGATCATAACCGAAAACATATTCAGAAATAGGCAGGCCCCTGCGCCGATTGTGTGCCGCCGTTGATGAAGACCGCTGGTAAGCCATCAGATCCGACGCTCTATTGACACACGATGCACTGCTCTGGGGACCGTCTTCGCCTCCAACGGTCGAGATTTGTCGCCGGTGGGAAGAAAAAAAATTAGCATCTCCGGCGAGGAGCCAGGTAGACCGAGGGGGTTTTCGAGGACTCATAATCGACAATGCTTTCTTCCGGGCCTGGACGATTATGAAATCACCGGCTGTCTCCGCCAGTTGATCGGTGAAAATTTCGTACGTATCCCGGCTCCATCAAAGCGGCTGAAAATTGGCTCAGGAGGAAAGGTTAGTGTGTGTGCGTGTGTGTGAAATGAGATCTAGTTGAAGAAACCGTCGCAACTCACAAGTCACAACATTTAAATACAATACTAGTAATGCACTCAGCGCCTTGCGCGTTATGATGTTAAATATATTGATATATTTTAATTTAATCAAATGACAATTTATTTTTAATAGTGTCACTTAATAAACATTTGAAATAATTATATATATAACATAACATTAATTGAAGACAAATTGAGTTTATTATGATCAATATTATTATTGAAAATATTAATATTTTGTTTGTAACTCTAGAAACAACAATATGCTACTATTATGACTAAGTACATTTTTTTCAGCAACAATAACATATATAACAGTAGTTGACTTTTATCAATTGATCACATTGCCTCAGATAACATAATAAATATTATTATCGTTCGAATTTAAATAATAATCTTGAATTGGAAAGCATCAAGGGTAATTGTAGAAAAAAAAAATATGCTGCGAGAATTTTACCTTTTATACTTTAAAATTGTGTTTTTAGTTTTTGTTGAATTAAGAGAAAATTCTTCAATATTGTCATTATTCATCAAGTCAATAACATATCGAGCTATTTGGACGAAAAATTATTTATAAACGGAAGCTAAACTTCTTGAATTATGCATTAAGATATTCGATGCAAAAATATTGAATTATTTAAATAAAAATTATTTAGGCAATGTTTGACAAAGTAATGACAACTATAGCAGACAATTTTTACTCCAACATACATGTAAATTGATGAATAGATTTCGATAGTTTTTTTATAATTTATTTACTTTTGAACACAAATTCACATTAATTTTAATTGCACAATAAATTTTAAATTAATAATATAATGTTTATAAATTATAAACTTTGAAGCATGTCAATTTAGTTCCAAAAAATAACATGAGATTTTACATTTTGAAAAATTTGGAAATAATAATTCTCAATTCACCCTCTTAGTCCTAACACATTGTGAAATTTTATTTAATGTTTTCCAAGTAAAAAAGTTTGAGATGATGTTTTTGTCTCTTAAAAAGACTATTATTCTGCTTTACAAAATAAAAATGACATTTTTTTCAAAATTAATACCAATATTCAGTAAGTCAAAATATAAATTAATTTTTTTTTTCGAAAATAACGTTCTCGTCAATAAGTTTATATATTTCATCTATAACAACATTCAATAATAAATATATGCAACCTTTTATGTTTTATTCATTTTTAAGACAAATTATATTATTTTCAGACAATATTTTTTTATCTTGATTTAACTTTTTCCATAAATTTAGATACACTAAGGCTGAGTGAGTTAGTACATTATTTATTCACGTTAATAAAACATTATTTTCGATAATAACCACAAACTTTGATATTATACCTCACGTTAAAGAAAAAAAAAAAATCATTTTCGATATTAACCCCAAACATGGATATTATACATTGGGCATCGAGTTATCCATTATAAA